GGTGTTTGGCGGGGAATGCAAATGCATTACCATTTCTACGGAACAAGTCGCCACATGTTCCAACCCCCAACCTGGAAGGCCAGGAGACTGTGTTCATCAGACCTCTAACTATTGACCAACCTGGTATGAGAGACTCTCTAAGTGTCGCGGGACATTCTCCAAGCTCGCTCAATGGATCGCTGAGGTGCGCAAACCGTCACACCACGGTAAGGCCCAGTCTCTTCGTGACGGAGGTCTTCCACGCGCGTTAAATATTCACGGTAAGGCCCAGTCTCTTCGTGACGGAGGTCTTCCACGCGCATCAGTTAAATATTTGATCCATCAAAAAAGCTAGATCGGACCACAGCATTGTGCAATTTACCCTTGATAGTCAAATTGTCTCATCTGCACCATAAATTTTGTTGGCTGAAAAACTGTTCTGCTCTTCCTAATTATGGGAGTAATTTTATCTTTCACCAGATCTCATGAAGGTGTCAGGTAGATAAACTTATCTGCTGCATCATTCAGTTCACCTGCACTTACTTTTGAGTTTTAACACACCTGCCGTCATCTTGCAGCACCAGTTTGCACGTTACGGGTGTGAAGTATATAAAAAACTGTGCAACAGAAAATTTTGAGCTATGCAACTTAGCTCGCAATTCTAATGGATCTGGTCCAACTACAGCAATATTATCGGTGTACTTAATTTCCGTGAGCAAACGTCCTGGGATTAGTTTGATACCTGAAGTGTTGGAGACAGATATGAAAGAATCAAGAAGAATATCTATTACGAAGTTGAAGGGGAAGAGCGAAAGAGAACGTTTTTGCCTGTCACTACTGGTTATGATGGACTCATGGGGAAATTCGCCTAAAGCCACCACGAGTCCATTGAATAGGGCATGTAAAGTTTTTTAAGGGACAAGAACTTAAAAGGAACACGCCTCGTCACCCGACACTGTCAGCTTCTCTGAATAACAAAAAACAGAAAGGCAAGTTTAAGGTCAATGAACAGAAACCGTTATAATACGTCTGAAAGAGCGGTGCAGTTTATTTACTTGCCACGATGAAACCCATGCCATGGCGAAATCCTGCCAGATCCCCGCGAATATAACTACCTCGATCGTGGATCAACTTGATTGGTGTAATGCCATAGAACACCTTGGTAGATGCAGGCGCTAGGCTTGTTACAAGTCTAGGTTTTTACATGATGTTCCTGAACCTTTTTCGAATATGGAAGTCACCGCCGATGCATTCTGTGTGGTTAGAGATTTTTCCTCATTTTAGACGTTTCGGAATAGAGTCGGTGGATTAGCCCCGACAGACTTGCCAATTTTTTTGAAGAGCGTATAGTGAAAACATTCTGGCACAGATTCTCTCTTTTACCGAAGCAATGTACTTACATACTAGACTTTAATCAACGATGTAAGGCCGGTGTTTATGTCCCGCTTGGTTTAAGTACTTCCTTCCAGATGGTCAGCTGATGAGGTCCACACGAACTAGTCTCTTATATCAAGATAAACCAAGCGTTTTTGTGAAAAGTTGGACCAGAGTATGACTGATCAGATAACTCTACTGGGTCAATAAGAAATAACACTTTAATTAGAGTTCTGCGTAGATCGGATTTACCATAACTGTATGAGTGAGCAACTTCATTTTTAGTAGTTTTACGGTACACAAAAGGGGGCATTTTGGAAACTCGTTTTTCAGATGCCAAAAAGGTCAATTCTTGTGCTGAAAACCTATTGTTTAGATGTTTGACGCTCTGCCTCTAAGACACTTTTGAGGGTGTAAAATTTTTGGAGTTGACAGTTTGTCCTGATCAGGTCCTCCTGCTATATAGACGGCGTTTCAGTAAACCATGCAGGTGCTTGTAAGTTAGACTAGTGAAACCTGACAAGAATTTCTTGAAAATGGTTTTTCACCTTTCTTCATGGATGTAACGCACTGCATCTATAAACTAACATCCGAATTTCTTTCATCACTGAGAGACTAAATTCCCCAGGTCTTTGATACTATTTAAGTAACTTTCGTTGCCCCCTTTTAATAAATCTCATGGAATTTCTCCAGTAAGAAATAGCATAACGTGGTTTACCAACTCCAAACTATAACGTAAAACCACTATTAGTTTTTATGTGCCATAACTCAACAGATTTTTGTGAGAAAAAGTTATAAAAGCACAACTGGTTGCTTAGTTCTGTCTTAAACTTCCGTATACATACTGCTTAGTTCCGTGTCAAATGCGGTATAGTTACTTTCTCGCTCCTTGTTCTTTGAACAGCAGCTTTGAACTACTAAAGCCTTCAGTGATGCCCTAATAAAGTGATAATGCTGCTATTATTATTATTATTCTGTTATTCTTATTATTCTTTTTTTTCTGTTATTCTTTTCATCGTTTCGCCTAACCGCTCCCATGAACCTCTTAACACTAATGCACCGTTACCACGAGCCGGCTTAGCTTGTCGTCTGTGATTTTCAATGTTCAAATTTGTTTCGATAAGCCTTACTACTCTAAACTACTCCAGCTGCTACGGCTCTTTTCGATGAACATAGTCACCACTGTTTCTTGACCATATTTACTTTAAAGGTCCCTTTATCATGAAATAAATAAATAAATCTAGAGAGTGAGGGGCGATTACTGTCCTGCTGGAAACATTCTGAGACACCAACATGCACAGGTAGTGATTTAGATAATTTGAGTATAAAGTAGCAAGGTCTGGACATACGTAATACAGTACTAGAATATAAGCATGCTATTGCAAATTCTGGAACCAGACACCTTCGATTGAAGCCCTTATTGCAAGAGAGAATAACTATTTTTCTGATTGGCCCCTGTCACGTTCGTTAGCTATAGCTTATGTGAGCCAGTTTCCAGAAGTTGATTAAGGATGGCTTGTTACTCTAATCAGGCACATCTCACTGCCATATAACGAAAACGCCTTCAATGTAGTTTGATGTATTTTAGTTCAAGCTTTATCGCTTTGGGGAAACGCGATCTGATTCTTGCGGATTTGAACAGTAACCCCACCTGTTACACTTCGGAATTATTTTAGCAGAATAGCATGATGTCCCTTCGGTTTCACTTGTAGTTCTGAGAAGGTTATAAAACTACTAAGGTTGCCGGTATTGTTACATTTGTATGTCAGTAAACAAAAACAACAGTAAACAGTTATAAAACAAGTACTTGGTTGTTCAGCGGAGGAGAATGTGTCCGGCGCCAAAAGCGACGGTGGTTTGGTCATGCATTTCGCATGCCGACTCATCGTTTACTAAACAAGGTACTAGTTTCGTGTCCAAACCAGAGCAGTGCAAACAAAGGAGTGGTCTACGGTGAACCTGGCAGAGGGGACGATAAGAATTACAAAAAGTTTGGACACTGCCGACTCAAATCACTTTTTAGAATGAGGCCTGCTTAACCCCCACCGTGCCTGGTTGACGATGTTACAAGATAGGGCTGAATATCTATGTCAGTGCTTTCTTGTTCTCAGCTCCCGTTCAAAATACCTAAATGAATATCTGGAGATGTGAGCACCTTGGATTAATGGTGTTGGGCTAGCATTAAGTCCCTTTCCCCATCTACATTTAGGCTTTTCTTTACAATGAAACCCGAATAAATCATGCTTGTATTGCAATGAAGCTTTTGTGATTAACAGTGATATTATGCTGTCCATGACGGTGACGACGATAACAATGATGGATTAAACGCTGACCTTACTGCAGACATACAGCTCAATACTAAGACCTTCCAAGCAGCATTGCAAGACCCTTAAATTTAAAAAAAATTTTGAAAATTCGAACCAATTTTTTTACCATTTTCCAGCTAGCGGATGACTGACCTCATGGCTTATTACTTATTAAGGTTGAAATCATCTCTTTTAAATGACAAAGATTTCTCTGTGTATGATGAATTTGATAATAGATTTCTAGTTTTTTCTCTCAGTAGCTGATCAAACGGGAGCGTGGTAACAACGCATAATCCACAGAACTCTTCCAATAGCTTCTATATCTCGGCATTTTTAACGAGTTGCGAATTGAAAGTAAAACCCTTACTGAAATGAAAACGTCAAGTCTTTCACCGTTTTTTGAGTTGAGCAACTAAATACGCACCAAAATTACGCAATTCAAATGTGGCACCTTCCTTTTAGCCAAGTCAAAAGCACGTTCACGGTTACCGGTGTCCGAGGAGATCCCTGAGTTGCAGCCATGGAGGCCTTCGGTAATTTATGACGCCTCGATTGACGAGCTACGGATCACTGAGGAGCGTCTTTCGAAGGTAATATACCTAAAAGTTCAACGATATCTATTCTGGCTATTCAAATCTCAAAATGAAACAGATTTCTCAACATTCATTTCTTCCTAACTCTATATCTTTTATCTTTAAATCATAAGATTGGAATCACAGGATGATGCGACTATCCATCTTTCTTAAGCTATATAACATTTCCCCTGAACTTGACATCAATTCGACCACTCACCGATAATATACTCCTTTTTAAGGTTTACATCTCAAATCTGAGGGTGGATGAAGGCATAATAAAGGGAGGCTGACGAAAGCAAACCCCTATACAACGGCCAGTCTTTTTGCTGGCCGATTTTGTCCGGGTCTGTCAGCTGAAAGAATAGACCCTTAACTTTATAAAGGCAACATTCATGGACAACTGAACCATCGAGAATACTTAAAAAGCACACCTTACAAAATTAAGCGACGGTCTTTGGTTTTTCTGGTAAACAGCTGGATTTATATAGAACGTCTCAGCCCCTGTAGGCTGACCGTCAGTGGTCACTGGAAGGTGGTTCACTATTCGGGCGACAGCACTAAATTTCTGTGCTTGGCCAGAGCCGTAACTAGCTGTCCGATTGTTTGAAATATCAAATCATAATGAATGAAATTTTCTGTAAACCGTCAAAGACGCTTTTACTGTACAAAAACGCTAAAAGGAGGGATTCAGCGAATTATTGATGGGAAAGATTTCACACCTGGGAAAACAGGTCCGTCGGCTCAATAAGCGTCACTGTGCATGAAAGACAAAATTGAGAGTTAGTCAAACAGTCCTAGAAATTTTCAGTTGTTCCCTTGGCAACCTATCCATGCTACAATATTAGCTAGCAATCCGTTTTCAAAGACATTCGCTGTTGGTATTTGACCGCTGATTCTGTATAAGGATTGCATCCCAACTTAACTGAAATTTGGCTCCCAGAAAACATTCTTGATAAGTGCTTTTTTGGTTGCCTGGCTCTACAAATTTGTTAAGTCAGTTGCTTGAGTGCGAATTTATTGAACGAAAGGTCCGTTGTTCGAACCCGACCTCTGCCTCTCGGATTCCCCTCTCTAGGCTTGGGAAGCCTGACAGTATCCCAGACCTCGTGCTTCCTTCTCGTGGTATGACAGTTAGGCACCGAAAGGGTGCTACAGCCAAGCGACTTTATTGTTTGAATTAAGTAGCTCATTAGACAGCCCACGACCCGTATTGCCATTCTCGGAGCACATCAGGCAGTCGCACTCCCAGCTGACTCACTCGTTTGTGATGCTGTCCAACTAAGATGTGCTGTACAAGATATTTTTAATATCGCAGTATCTTAACTTAACGAAACACACGACCCATAAGCTTGTTGAGAACTCTTCGACAGCTCATGCCTAGTTTTGCCTCTCTTGGCCCTGTGTATTTTACAGGGATTCGTTTTTCAGGTGAAGCCAATCTATGCTAAGGTACCGAAAAGCACAGTAAAGCTCTTTCATTCGTGTTGATAATCGTCAGTACTGCGCATCTCACGGGGACTCCAAAGAGTCTTGAACCCGCGACCTCAAGTTCAGTAGTATGAACGCTTGACTTTTCGGCCACGGTTGGTTTGATCAGCAGTGTGATTAACTGTCACTTGATCAGGATATACCTCCGATTCTCCTCCAGTCACAAAATGCCCATCACTTTGTTACACTATTGACCGGCTCCTCGAATGACGAGTTTTCAGCTGGAAGTTTCACAGACTTTATTTCTCTCTGAGCTACTCTCACGTATTGTTGATGTATTCGGGGTAGAAAGTATAAATGAAATAATCTAGCGACCTCTGCTCAACACAGGCATTCACAAACGTGTACCTGAATGTGCAATGCTAAAGTGGCCAAAAAACGCTTCGTTTAACTTCTTTTGGTGTGGTGAAACTTTGACGGCTACTAATCCCTTGGCTTGGTCACGTGTTGTCAGGAAAAACTTTCCGTGGATGAACTCCCATCTATTTTTTCAGTTTCTCTAGTGCTCTCAAAAGTTGAGGTATAACAGCCAAACCGTAACAAGGTGATAACGGAGGCAAACATACTAGGAACTGCTTTTCGAGGAATATGCAAGCTTTGTAAGGAGTTGCAATGGGGGTGGACACCAGTAATTCCCTCAAGGCCATTTAGCATTTCCCTATCTGTGCCCTACTATCCTATTTCAAGTTCAAGTGAATACCACTGGTAGTTTGGTTTTCGTTTACGTGGGTTTCAAAGCCTCCATTTAGCACACAATGTTGTCATTCATCCACTCAGTTGTCAATATCTTACAATGCTGTTAAGCTGAATATCAAAAGCCAATGAGGAAGAGCAAAAATATCACTGAGCTCATAATCCATCAAGTTGAAAGATATAAGAGCAGCCTGGTAATCCGTCCAAAGGACTGATTTATTGGACAAAATGGACTTGAAATCATTATAGGTGAAGCACTAATGTCATCAGATATGATCAACGGTAGTTTGTAAACAAAGCGGTGGTGCATTATTGCCAAAACTGATGTTGCTGTCTTTGATGACGATGAGAATCATGCAAAGAAAGTAAAAGCATCGACCGGCATTTAGAAAAATCAGTTTATTTTTGTCTATCCTAAATGTAATATCGGCTGGTGGTTAGAAGAGGGCATAATATCCTTATGCTGGCATTCTCAGATACTCGAATAACTTTTTGAATTCAAAGTGAACTGCATAATATCTTTACAATATCTTTACCAATATCTCTACGCAATATTTTTTACCAAAAGGAAGGGAATCATATCTCGGTCTCACGAAATATACGTTTGAGTTGACAGCCAAAATGACAACTCTCCCTCCTTCAGGGGGGACCGGGAACGTTTGCAATTTTAAGTTTACAGTTGCTCGAAGGGAACCACATTTTTTTAAACCTTGGCAGGTATTTTCACACAGTAACCATCAGCCTCCCGGCTTTGTGCTGCCGATTATCTTGCCGATATGCTTACTTATGCCTGTTACTTCCTAATGGGCAGGCCAACTAAAACTTCCAAATAAAGTTATGGTCCCGTCCTTTCTCTCATGCGTAAAACGGGTATTTTGAAGTTCGACCGGAGAAACCACAAAACCACCCGGTTTAAAGCAGCTTGTCATCTGTGTGATTGGCTTGCACTAAGACAGTATATAATGCCCCCTTTCTTCAGTCATGGAATCAGTATAACGTAGTCACATGTTAGCTGACTTCCGAGTGGCCACATCTCAGCTGGACAGTTCACGTAGCTTTTGGAACAGTTCTTCCTTTTGATCTGCCTGTAAATCGCTGATAGCATGAAGATGCTTGGAAGTTTTTAATTTGGCTTTCGTCTTGTAAATTGAGTCAAGCTATTCCGAAAAGTTGAGAAAGACTGTTCAGCTGTCTTATCGTTGTCAATTATCAATGGGGAATGATTCACAATCCGAATTAACCTACCACCAAGGAGTCATTTAAAACACCACTATAATATTTAAATTCTTTTAGTGAAAGACAGGTGCAGCTATATCCGTTCTAGGTGCTATTTTCTCACATTGTAGATCAGCTGCTCATAGAGGGACTGTTAAGTCTTCAACTACAAGCCGAAAAGTTGTGAGTTTCACCCGCCATGGAGATTGGTACGATGAGAACAGCTAATTATACCCCCATAAGGATGAAATTGCTATGAAATGTTTCTTGGATTTTGAAATAGACACGCTTCAATTACAGGACGAAATTTCAAGTAAAAAATCTGCAGAACTTTCCATTTACTGTTTCCATCCACCAACACTTCAACCGTCATGCCACCACATGGAATGCAAGCAAATCGTCCTTCCGTATGAACAATTAACTTTCTTTTTGGACTGTTTATATGGCAGTCTCTTTATATATGGCAACTCAGACTTGAGTTATTCCAAGGAACAAGCGCACAAAACAGGATGATCTCGACAGAGATACTAGCTGCCTTTAATTTAACCAGTCCCAGTAGATGTCCCTTACTAGCGAACACCACCGTGCTGTTTTTTAAGTTGATATGTGACACATATACCTATCTTCCAATGCTTTGCTGAGATAATCCACTCTAAAGAAGAAGAAGGAAATTGATGGTTTTCTCCGTTTACCTTTTTCATTCTCAATCGCAGAAACTCGAAGAGTGGCGACGAAAAAGACCGGTGAAGGAAGATTTTGAAGCGTCAGCTGGCAGGATGCAGCGGGTTGCTGTTCAGGTACGGATCCCTGAATCACAGCAGCTCCGTCCACTCAAAAGGTACATGCTCTCTTTTAGTATTTATCTTGTTAGCCCTTCAAACCGGAGTGAGCACTGGCACACATTGATCCTTTCCAAGGCCCTTGTTTCGCCTCGTTTTCATACTACTCGCCATTCTGAGTAGTTTAAAAACAGCGAGCCTTACTCTAGACCCAAATCTCTGGATTAGTGAAGGTTGATGATTGTCAGGAGACATCGCAACGAGACAAGGGCTTTCGAGATGCGGAGATCGAGCGCAAGTGAATATCAGCAGGATCCATAACTAAAAAAATTCGATGCATCACATATAGTGTGAGACCGTAGATTTAATTGTTGATGATCCAGGCTCTGTTACCCATGGGAACCTACAAACTGGTAGCCGGACAAGCTCTAGCGAAGTGCATTGGAATTAAGCGTGTCACGGCACACTTTACTATTGCGCCGTCTCAAACGCGTACATCTGTATAGGTTGTTATGTTGCCGCGCCCATAACAACCTTGAAGTTTTATTGCTCCACATCTTTTTTACACATGGTACTGTGTGAGTAGTGTTCAGAAAGCCCGATTTTCTATCCGCTTCGTTTAACACACTTGGCCGCCCCACAAGGTTTTCTTTATACATCGGTTATCACCACAGTATTGAAGACAACGTGCGTATACTTTTAAATTGTAGATTTAGTAGATAAACTCATTGTCCGGAGAACCACTTTTTTGTCCCTCATGGTGTCTCAAATTGAGTGAAGCATGGGACCGCCTAATCATCGTTTCTTCTTATCCTCAGTCGCTTTGCTTGTACTCTCTTTTTCTAAACGGTTCAAAGATTTGCCGTGCTCAAACGTGCTCCTTCGGATTCCTATGTAGCCAATCAGATAAGCACCGAACCTTCCCACAAATTGTGTGGTCAAACGGATGGATGTACACAATTAGGTCAAAAACAGGACTGGTTTACCGCGGGTTTCGGTCCAAGGGTCACGCCGAACGGTCACGTGGTTGAACACAGCATTCTTGGGGATCCGGAAAGCTTTTATCGTACGGCAGTGTTACGGGGCGATATCACATGGGAAGTGAGTTTATGTGTAGTTATTAGTCGATAAACCAAATTATTTATTTGAAGCAAAAGTGAATCTGAAATATTCACAGATGATGATTAATCCTAATGGCACTAAATTAGACAGAGATTTTGGACTATTCTTTACTTGAAGTAGACTCTGTATGTGCGAAATTTCTCTACTCTGAATGGCTTTCAATCTCTGAAAGACTAGAAGACCGAATTGCCTCCGATATTCTTGGATCGTTATCCTCTGCAAGTGGGAGAATGTTTGGGACAATAACCTTGAAAATCTTCGATTCGTCTACTATCAGTTTACAAGATGATGCTATGGTAACCCTTTGATATACAGCAGCAGCAGTGTTCTTAGGACCGATTCTTGCTGCCCGGCTGATTAACTGTGCTTGAGCGAGTGACTTCATATGGATTCCGGGACTTCGGTGTAAGTTTTTATGTCTTAAATATCCCCAAAGAATGTGTAAACGAAACTCGTGAGGATACTGTCGATCCGCTATACTATTTCTTACACTTAATCCCGTTGTGTTTTTCGAATTTGGAGTACAACTTTCGAGATGCTCGGTGACACGTGACGAAGATACTCCTAATTTGAGAGTTTATCATGTAAAACTAATTACTATCATGTATAGACGTAATACACTACAAATGAGGTTTGCTGAAAATTCTTCGACAGCCCACGACCGGTTTCGACCTTCTTGGGGCTCATCAGGTAGAAGTAGTCCCCGAGTTTCTAGCGAACTCATGTTTCACTAGAGAGCAAATCGCATGAAATTAGCGAAATCCGCTCTTTTGAGAAAAAAATTTGGACTTAACATCATAAACGAGAGGTTCAGCTGGATTCTAGGTGAGCCTCTCAGAGAAACAGATTTGTTTGCAAATGAGTGTATTTTGCTGAGTACTGTCATCTTCATCATCGTCCTGGAAAGCGGTGAGAACAAATGCCCAACTGTCACGCAAATGATAACCTAAGTACCAAATTTCGTGGGACTTCACTCCTTAGATTACGATCCTTCTCTCAAAATGGGCTTGACTAGAGCTGTCCGGATCCCCACACAATTGCCATGACAACGAACACGCGCGAAACTTTTGTTTTCAATCTGGTGAAAAAAGACTAATCCCGGTGTAGTCGACACTCTCAAATGGCTGCCACGGGACGAATGGGCTACTTGAAATCGGCTTGTGTTTAGACCAAGAATCCAATAGAAAACAACTGTCACGATAATACCGAACACGGTTCTCACTTGAGGCTGATGTTACGTCTCGAGTTTTAGCCAACGCCTGCTGAGGCAGACTCTGAAGAATAAGCTGACATTTGGTGAAAAGCTAAGCCACACTGGCAGTCTCACCAATCGATCAACACTGACTCAATCTACTCAAACGTGTTCAGCATGCTGTCGTGCGTTTTTTCACAGCACATGACTGGACAATAACGTCACAGATAGGGACCACAACAGGATTTTAAAAAAATTAAAAACACAGCAGGTAAACTAAAATCAATTTACGTCAGGTGAAAAGTGCTGCCATAATCAACATCAGAGACAGTAAGATCAGTGTTGACACTAATGTCAATGCCGTACAAACACAGGGTTTATTTAATTAGGGCGGAAAGAAATGAAAGGGATGGGGACCTGTTGCTGGCCAATCGCATGCACTCTAAGGTGCTTGCACTTCCAAGTGCCCAGTCAGACAATCCGGAAAGAAAGTGACAGCAAGAACGCTATTTACTGAATCAGCCACCATTTCTCGCAATGTCTACAGCCAACCGCAAGGGGATCACGAAAACTCTATCCTGGAAGGTGAACGGCACAACAACTCTTAAACTCACTGTAATCTCCTTAACCCCCTTCTGCCAAGTCACCCGTTCTGCACCTCACAAAGGGCAATGCTTCGGAGGGTGTATCATATAGGTGAGCCACCGAAGCTGGTGGTAATCACTGGGTTTCGCAATCGAACTACCTAATGCACAAACAAATATCCGTTTTTAATTACTTTGTGACAAATTTGCTGTCGCTATCGGACACTAACGCACGGTCAATAACCTGAAGACACCTCATACCACCCAACCACAGGGGCCATGTCTTGCAACCATAAAACACTGCAGCACTTGGAATCCAGCTGAATCACTCGTTTGTGTTGTTCGTAAACGAGTATATTTCGCTCATTTCGTGCAATTTATTTCCAAGTAGAAAGTAAGGAAACTCGAGGAGTGCGTCTACCTGATGATCCCCAAGAAAGGTGAAACTGCTCGTGTGCTGTCGAAGAATTTGAGTATTGGATTACGAAATACAGCACCTACTCTGGCCCCGAGCACATGGCCCTTAAGACCCAGGGATTGGTCTTTTTGACCCCACAATTGGGGTATACTACGAAACGTGACTCAGGTCTCTGCGATTCCTGTGCTGACTTCATTAGATACAACTATGTCGGGACTAATATAAATACCGAGGTAGGTAGACTTATCCACAACACCCAGTACATATTCCTGAATTGCAGGTGTCATGTTCAGCGATTGCACGGTCTGAAAGTACCTTGAAGGCGCTAGATGTATGCCGAAAGGTCGTATGCTGGTGGTTAGTTCATTCAACAGAGCTTGTTCTTTGCTTTTGTCTCCAAAGATCTAAATGATATTGTCTGCACACTCTAGATCGATAAGGTTCAAAACACATTCGATATTTCAGAATGATCTTCCGCCAAAAATACTTACTTCAAGTGGCTTTATTAAACTCTGCCGTAAAAATAACATTGTTTCCGTTATTTCATCCTTTATTATGGCAGTTTTTCAAAGATATTTCTCCTATCTAATGGTCAACAGCCCATGAATTATACTGCAGTCGTTAAACCGTGACTCACAGGTAGAAGCGAGTTAGGTATATTTTTATGCACGGCGTTGAGTTCATGACTTTTAAGCCATATATCGCAAGCATCTTGTGCTTTCAGCTTGTACCTGAAGAAATTCGTCGAAAACTACAACCTGAATTCACAAATCTTGATTTTACGGTGGTTACGGGTTTGTCAACTTGTCCAAAGTCGCTACCGGCAAAAGTGCGGTGTGATCCATTCCCAATAACTGGCGACCAATCTGCTTTGGAAAACTGGCAACAGTGGCTTGCAAAGCAGAAAGCAATGCAGAAACGTCTATCTGGTAATGTAATTTTGTTACGGTGGATTGTTTGAGCCGATATTCAGAGCAATTGAAAGGCTGGCTAGATGCTTTTACCGTGTCTCTCGCTATTAGTAGATTAACTAACCGGGTAATAATATCGACCTTATAGGTGGCCAGACCTGGAGCACTCAAAGTTCTCAAATGTCACATGCACTCTCGAATACAGGAAACATCATCGAACCAGTCCGAGCAGGTGCAAACGGCGTTCCACTGTTTTATTAGTTAAATGAGTCTACTCGTTTTAATTGCAGTAGTTGAAAAAAAGCTGTCATTGCCGGCTTGTCCGGTTAGGCCGGATGCCATCTATGCGAGCCTGGATCTGAGATTTTGTTGCTTATTTTATGCTTGAACCATCAGAAATTTCCGGATCCATCGTAAAAACCCGGTCATTCAGTATAAATTGGACCCAGCACTCTGTTTTACTGGCCCATACCATCATGATATAGACACGAAGAATGACTTTAGACACGCTGATCCTTTCAGGGCCAGGGTTCAATTTCTTTGTGTGGGTTGTAAACCACGTTTTTGTTTGTCAATCAAAGTCTTCACTGGTCAATTCACTTAGTCGTTATATTGATTCTGCTCAATTAACTATCAATAAGTGTGCGGTTCACAGTTCTCTGCAGTATTTATGCAACGTATTACAAGTCAGATAAATTAATTTTTATCCGTATATTTTTCAGAAACTGAGGCACTGAGATTTCGCCAATTATTTGTAGTGTGCTTAAATATCCTTCCAAAACGATTTGTATCATGCATACCTACTCCCCGGTTATTGCTGACGAGACAGGTTGAAAACTGTCGCCCCAAAATGTGGATGTGGTAATGTTAGTAACCGGTGCTTTTCCACATTCAAAATTTCTCTTTGAAAAGTAGGGGAGTGTAAAGATTTGTTCCAAATCGAACAAAATTGGAATTTGTTTACACCAACCCAAAGTAATCAGTATAAAAGAGTGACTGCCTCAGAACAAAACGCACTGAAGAGAGTTTTGATCTCTTGACGTGAACATAAATAAGAGTTCCCCTAAACGTAGCCCACTATCGATAGGTTTGCTAGAAACGCTTTGGTGGCCACTACGGGTTTTGTCCTTCTTTTGGCTCATTCACTAGGCGCAGTCCCAAAATTTTTATCAACTCAGTGTTCTTTCTGAATCTAAACTGAACATATTGCAACATATACTCTATTTTGCATTAGAACTTGGTTTCAAGAGGACGTTCGACCTATTCTAACTGAATCCGTCATTTGTGCTGGTCCGCTTTAACTGGATATGCTGCATCAGGCCTTCGTCTCATGTTTTAGTTGGTGTTATATCTGACATATCAAATACGATATTATCTAGACGTCACAAACTACTCATAAGGTTGCTTAAATTTATTCGGCAGCCCACGAACAGTTTTTTCCTTTTCAGTTGGAGAATACCCTCGTAGACGAGTGATCAAGCTGGATTTAGTTGCACCTCTCGTCAGGAACTAAGTTATATATATATTTTCCACATTCAAAATTTCTCTTTGAAAAGTAGGGGAGTGTAAAGATTTGTTCCAAATCGAACAAAATTGGAATTTGTTTACACCAACCCAAAGTAATCAGTATAAAAGAGTGACTGCCTCAGAACAAAACGCACTGAAGAGAGTTTTGATCTCTTGACGTGAACATAAATAAGAGTTCCCCTAAACGTAGCCCACTATCGATAGGTTTGCTAGAAACGCTTTGGTGGCCACTACGGGTTTTGTCCTTCTTTTGGCTCATTCACTAGGCGCAGTCCCAAAATTTTTATCAACTCAGTGTTCTTTCTGAATCTAAACTGAACATATTGCAACATATACTCTATTTTGCATTAGAACTTGGTTTCAAGAGGACGTTCGACCTATTCTAACTGAATCCGTCATTTGTGCTGGTCCGCTTTAACTGGATATGCTGCATCAGGCCTTCGTCTCATGTTTTAGTTGGTGTTATATCTGACATATCAAATACGATATTATCTAGACGTCACAAACTACTCATAAGGTTGCTTAAATTTATTCGGCAGCCCACGAACAGTTTTTTCCTTTTCAGTTGGAGAATACCCTCGTAGACGAGTGATCAAGCTGGATTTAGTTGCACCTCTCGTCAGGAACTAAGTTTGTATATATATATGAGATCATTTGTCAAAGAGTTAATTCTGTTTCGTTTGAAAACCTCAACAATTTTTGCATAAGTTTTGGAGTTTTGGAGTGAGATCAACCATCACTCGTACGTCTAGTTGTGACCAAAAACATTTCGCCGTAACATCCGACAAGATTTGGTGCCCATTATTGTGAGATTCCCATCTTGATCCCCTCAACGACCAATGTATCCACAGGCCACTTGAATCGCTTCTGAAGTCAATTGATGAACGTCTTTCTTCCAGATATGTCTAAGCGGAAGCCAAGCGATCTCGTCATGAATTCTGGTGAAGATTATTACCTTAATCAGCTTGGTCGAGAAAAGATTGAGCGCACCCTTCCACTTGTTGCCCCGGGTAAAGGAAGTAAGTCTATCGAAATGTAATGCTACTAACGGGAGATTCATTGTTTTTAGCATCTGGTAAATCTGTCGTTCCAAATGGAAAAATTCTAGCGCAATCGTCCCCAGTAATCGTACATCTGAGGGACGATTTAAACTGGCGGGTGCCAGACTATCCCGTTAGTGGGGAAATCATTGTAGGCAAGTTAGTTGGACGGAGTGAGTATTATCCTGCAAATAGGAATGGGGTGTTGCGCTCGTCAGAAAACACACAGTGGATTGTTTTTGCAGGACAGGCTGCGGCCACTTCGCAAAGCCAACTCGAAGGTATCGTGTTCACCTCTGTTCTGGGAAAGCAATAACCACCTGGCTACTCGCTAGTAGCAAAATGTCTAGAAGGCTTCGACGCGAGTGAAATTCTTCAATGGTGCGCAGGTGATATTTATATAACGTTATGAAATCAGAAGAAAATTACAAATTAAGTAATCATCACGTGATGGGAAAAGCCGCTCAATCTAGGAAAAACGGGCCTCTGATTATTTACTGGCTATTGCGACCTACACTTATGTCAGTAATTACAAGTTGCAATGTCGTGCACAGGATAAATAAGGCCAATTTTTAATTAGTGACTGGTCAGTTTTAACGCGGTGGAGACCACTAGAGAAATAGCTGCACTCTTTAACACGGTCTAATGTAATGTGTTGAAATGCTGGTACCTCGACTTCATTACTTGGTATTTGATCAGACAAATGTTGATCTGTTCGCCAAGCTTGACAGTTGATTTGCAAACGCTTCGTCACTATTCGAGCAGACATCTTCAGCACACTGAAGACGTGCGTATTTTTTAGTTTTAAGGAAATAAATAAACTGAACGAAGTGTTTAAAAAATAGCTCCCTCCAACCCTTGGCATTATGGCAAAGAAGTGTGGGGGGAAATGAAATTATTCGGCACATTACACGTTTCCTTTCGTTCAGAACAAATTAACAAGAGTTCTGTAGCAGGAGATCCACCTCAGCTGTTCCGGAATCAGGAATGCAGTCCTGCACTGAGGACGGTCGTGATAGTTTGGTCTGGATACAATGCATCTAGCAGTCAAAAATTACTTACCGACTCATGATACCCACTAGAACTTTAACTTAATAAGACGAAATGAAATGGTGACAGCCGCGTCTGAACACAACTTTTACACCTTAAAAATGTCAAAGCGGGAGAATTATGGGAACATTATTCCTTTCTCTGAAAAAGTTTCCGATTTTATCATTTCTCTCCAAAAATTGCTTTACTGTGCTCAATTTCATGAGCATGCGTTAAATTTCGTCTGATGCTTCCTGATGATTTCTTTTGCAGATCAGCTACAGGGTCAGTTTTGGGGTGTTAAAGACTTTTGTATGCTTTGGATGCTAGGTGTGCTCAGTGTGTGGCCCACAGTCGCGACATTGTGTGGTTACTTCACACTCTTCACGTAGTAGAACAGAGTAACTTAACGTAATGTGGTTTTGACAGTCATGTACTATTGAAGTCGTCTGTAGCATATACATGATTTATTCAAGAAGAACCTATGGACTTTCGTCCACAGTGTCTTCAAAATGTTATTGTAATCATTTACTCCATCAACAATCCAGAAGAATAATTGTTTATCTGTAACACTTGCCAGGCCAACCCAATATAGCCTGAGAGCTGAGGTATTGTTAGGTTACTGAGTCGTCGACAGGCACCTAGAGAATCTAGGCTTGAATTCGAACCACAGACTATTTGGTCAGTGTGTTCGCACCTTGCCCATTGAGCAATCTGGACGGAAACCCAGAAGAACATCTAATCGTCCCATCGATTTTACAAATGTTTGAACTCTAAAACTCACTGAGAAATGGTCACGGAGCCAGGCGGACAGTTCTATGTCGTCTTCAGGTCAAATTTCTATCGTCCAGGAGAATGCACACCATTTGAGTTGTTATATTTTGCTTGATCTAACCGAACTGTTTTGCTTCTAGTGTGCGTATGTGTGTGTTTCGTCTCTAGTTCCTTCTACCTATGTGTTTCATTCGGGCAGAAAAAATTGGTGGTGCACGCTTTCCAAGCATGGGGTGCTTGCTTTTTTTCGGCACTATCAGGGATCTGCTCGGAAGGGGTCCCACAAATCGCATAGAGTTTTACTTGAGAAAACTCTACCCCAGGTTGGCGCTCAAAGATACATCATTTTAACTGAAGTGTCATAGACGGGTGAAAACGCTATATTCTGCCTTAGAGCTGGTCGATAATACTGATAAATAGACAGTCATGGCTGTGTTTAGCTGATAAATGGGAAGACGCTGGTCCGAATCCCTCAAGCTGCTCGCGTGGTGCGCTACTGACTGCTCCAAGCAAGAGGAACACATCTATGCAGGGCTTCGATGGAATATACTTGCAGGATGAAATTTTTGTCGGAAAATCCTTGGGAGTTACTAGTTCATAAGCTATCTCTTCAGCAATGGAGGAAACCCATTGGCGAAAATGATAAGACAGTCAGCTATCTGAAGCTAAATCTGTCGAATTATGAACTGAAGAGAGGATTCTTACTGGACGTTGAAATTCTGGTGTTGTCTTGCTGAACGGCCGTGCAGCTGTGTCGGCCCTTTGTTTCCTGCTCCGCCCACTATGGTATATCCAAAGGCACGGGAGCTTCAGATAGTTTTTTATGGAGACCAAGGAAGATTATTACAACTGCATTTATGGGGTAATCACAGAATGTTCCACAGGTTCGCGCTAGAATCTCCAAGAGGGTGTGAGAATCGTCGACCCAAAGACGTTCCATCCAGATTGGCTTACGGTCCGACCAATCAGGGCATGCCTTCGTTCGGTCAGTAGCCCACACGTGACACATCCGCCCAACTGATTTGATGTCCGATTATTAGGGGCGGCTGGCCTCCGGAGAGGTATATTCAAGCCACTGAACCCAATGAATCATTCTTCCTCATTGTGCTCTGCCATAACTCATGGTGTCAACTCATTTCTCGGAATGATTGTCACCTTAAGCAATGAGAAACCGATAGCCGGTGTGCTGCAAAGAGTCACGAGTTGTTTTGACGTAGGATTTTTATGGGAGACAAGACGGTAATTTCTGTTGTTAGTTGTACGGGTTATCTGGTGAAATTCATTTCTGTAAAGCTCCTTAGAATGAATAATACTACACAGATTGCTTGGTTACAATTAATAGTGTTTTCTCGTCATAAAAGTTACGGAAACTGGCTAGATGATAGCGCGGCAGTTGATACAGTTGTGCTGCAAACTTGTCGTATCATCGGTGAATTCGCAGTCCTAAACAGTTCACTTCTGGTGAAATTCTGAAAGTACCCTCAGTCATTTTACAAATGGGTTTACTCAACATCAGCTTCACACAACTTTTACCAGCTAGCACTAAACACTGATAGTTGGTGATCCAAAACTGTCTTAGAAAACCGAATCGAGAGGGCCAAGTGTATTTGCTAATCTCCGCGATTGCATACCATTTTAGATCGATATAAAAGCGAGTTTTGGAGTCAAAATGAATTCTTCCAAGGGAAGCGGAGCAGAGATGTTTGGTGAGTTGTTGAATGTGTCTATCTTGATCACGTGTTGAGACGATAAATAAGGGGTCACCAAGGTGTACAAGGATTAGTTTCCACCAGATTAGGTCCCTCCGTCTCCAGTGTCCATAAAAGAGCGACCTTGCTGTCGGTGAAGAGCTCTTCGGAACAAATGATTACTTCACTCTCAGGAGTCCGTCAATCAGAAAATTAGGGCAACTTTTCGGAGGCCAGTTATCGCTGACAGTATTTCCCTGAAGTTTTAATAAAACTGATCACATCGAAAGAAACTGCCAACAACCCATTGTAACCCTTTTTTCGGCTTCACCCTGAATCTCTATAGAGTTTAGTAATACTTCTGGAAAACGAATCACTAGCCACCTGTGCCCAACCAGAGTTCTGTCACGATTAGGGTTTGAAAAATCATTACTTTGAAAAATAATGATGAGGTGTAGTTAGCCAACCGAATGACTGACCAAATAAGAAGCCGGTGGGCATACGAATATCCGTTATTCTTGGAGAATTGGTTGCATATATAGTGAGACAAAAGTACTTGGGTGAAACATTGTCCACTCTCGTCACTTTTGGACGGACTTCCTCCTGATTTGGCGCACTCATTCTGATGAGTTCATGGAAAGCAGTAAATCTGAACAGCCAAACTTGTCGACGCCTGAGTCAGCATAATCAATGTTGACACTGATACTTCAATGCCACGCAACCACAAATTTATTTTATCATACCTAAGGCCCAAAAGTGAAAAAAGAGAAAATAGTGTGTGAGAGAGGAAAACTGGTGCTGATCTATCACAATCATTCTGAGGTGCTTACATCTCCAAGCACTCAACCGGACAATCTGGGAAGAAATTGACAGCACGAGCACCATCAACTATCCGTCATTTTTGCAATTCCTCAAGCCATGCACCAGGCGTGTCACAAGTCCCCAACCTGCAAGATGGACCGCTTGATCGACTACTCGGCTGATCGATTACCCTGCAACGCTTTGATCTAAGATGACATAATGCCAAAACTGGAATAATCCGTCTATTACAACTTCATAACTTGGTTTGTCTTAATCGTGCTGGTTGGGTAACAGTAGTGAGCCAGTTTTGCATCGTGGACGGTCTGAAACCTTATCCGAATGTGGTTGATGGTTCACACTAACAGTGAAATCTAAGGTGAGGAGAAACTGTAGTCAGATGCATTGTTACTTGGCGTGTGCTGACAAGAGGCATACTGTAAGGATTACAATGTTTCGGGAAACCTAGAATACATCCACATTTACGGTGGAGTTCAAAGTAATGACAAGTAAACTTTAGTTTCTGTTCGCTTAGACATCGAATTTTCTAACTATTCTTGGGAATAAGGTGTCCATATTTTGGTCTGGCGTAAATATTCCTTGGTTTGCGAGACTTGACTTGGCTAATGAGCAGCACATGGGTTGAAGCTAGAAGAGTTTGGCTCACCCATAAATTGAGCCGACTTATTGATACCCATGTCCAGTTGCCTACATGCCATGGCCACCTGCTGCAACCCTGGTTTTGTTTATTTAGGCTACTTGGGCGCTGTAAGCAGTAGGTAAATATTTTGATTTCCCATGTCCCTGCTGAGGTCAAAAGGCCCAAAATAGACCAGCTAACCCGCATTCTAAAACTTCTCTGTTGTAAGCGACTTAGAAAATCCAAAAGCATGGAAAATTCCGATTATCATGATCCACTGTTTCACAACACTTGGTGGGTTAAAGAAAATTCCTTCCTTCTTAAATTTCAGTACATCCCTTTCACTAAAACAGAAGGGGATATATTACCCTTTGGAATTCATCAAATGCCCCCAATCCATTCGTAAAGAAAAGGGTGAGTTAGTTCATGTTGCTACCTTTCTTAGGTTTAGTTTAGTGTAATAATTCGTCTATGGCATTTTGCGTGAGAAAAATCTAACACTGATGGGGTGAAATTCTAGCGATAATCGACTGAGGATTGATTTATCCAGTTCCCTATATGACCACCCTGTGTTATGTGACACTGGCTTGTTTACCAAAGGTAAAGTTTTCGATATTGCAGTGCGTTCCATGTTTATCATAAGGCTGTGAGCTGCGGGCTGAAAATGTGGACAAAAACTCTGTGCTTGACCATCTTAGTCTCTGGAGAATTGCTTGAGTCTGATCAGTAGAGCCTAGGTACCACGAATAGCTTTGGGAATAAATAACTCGCCCACAATTCATGAGCCGATCACACTCCATAGACTGCGCTTGTTTGGCCACGCACTCCGTATGCTAGTCAACCAAATTCATCGGACAGCCTTCACATAACTACGCAAAGGGTGGAAACGAGCTAGGGGAGGTCAAATAATGTCAAAACAGCTGCGACGTATGAAAAGTCATTACCAGAAAAATCAGCTGCACCAGTCATTGCCGTTCCCTTGGATTGAAACCTCGAAACAGAACACATGGACATTGACAGGCATGACTCAGTCGCCTGCTCAATAGAGCGCATGCATCCATGCCGTTGCCTTTATTGCAGGGCTTCTGCTCCCGGTCTACCCAATGAACAATCCACTGACACCGCCGTATTCACGCGCCAACCATATCATCTTATCAGTGTGTAGCTCTACAATCCCATCGGTTAATAAAACTGTGGCAGCTATAAGCACTGGACTGCAAGTACACGGTTTTCACAGCTCAGTATAATGGTGAAAGCGAAGAACGTAACTGACGTTCTTCCAGCTAACCAGTTCCTGAAACAGTATAACCACTCTCTCCTTCCCCGCAAGTTGCAATGGGCATTTTAAACTACTTTTGTTCTCACTCCTTTGCAAACAAATTTGATTTTGCAGAAGATTCGCCTGGGACCCAGCTGAATCTCTCGTTTGTGACGTTTTCAAGCAACTGAATGTGCTGCAACAGGCCGTATCATGTTTCAGTTAGTACGATATTCGAGATATCACGATACATGTATAGACGTAATACACTAGTCATAAGGTTGCTGACAGCCCATCTGTGTTCCAGGTGGGTCTCTTGCAAAACCAAATTTGTTTGCAAATGAGTGTGTTCCGCTAATTTCGTGCAATTTTGGTTCAAGTAGAACATGAGGTTGACGGGGACTGCGCCTTCCTGATGACCCCCCGTGGATGACCCCGTGGACGGTCGGAGATTTTTCAGCAACCTCATGAGTAGTGAATTGCGCCTATACATCTGTTCTCCACTCTGGTCTGAAACGTGCTTCCAATTTGTTACGCCAGACTGAGTTTACTCATTCCTCTCGGTATTAGCGCCACATTGAAGCAAGCAATCATTCCAGTGCAGTTTATCGTGAACGTTTTTGGGGTACACACAACTAAACACCAGGTAGAAACTGTGTATAGTCAAATGTAAATACGTGTATCATCAATTTGGAAAGCTATATTTGGCTACCCTCAGAATAAGGGTACAAACTAAGCTCTCATACACAAGAACCATAGCTACTTTTCCTGATGGAATTGGCCGTGGGCCTTGAATGCTTCATTACAAGCACTTCATTTCCTTCACATTCTTACCACTTTCCCGACGTCCTACAAAAGATGTGTGGAAGAGAGGTCTGTTGCAAAGAGCAATTCAAGAGAATCAAATGGCAGNAGATGTGTGGAAGAGCGGTCTGTTGCAAAGGGCAGTTCAAGAGAATCAAAGTGCAGTGGGCTGTCAGTTGTTTTAGTGTACCTTGCCATGTCTCACGTCCCTTGGATAAAAGAATTCATTGCTTCTTGTGCGGTCACACCGCGTCAGTGAAACGAACTTGTATCATCGTATTGGTAATCTTCATTGTGAGGCAGTAGTAGACCTTTAATGCGAATGGCATGGCTATCAGTAGCATCGACCTTAACGTCATCACCATTCTGACCATTCTCGTCGTGGATAGTGACAGCAATACCGCACAGTGGTGCTTTGCACACATACGAAGATTTTGATACTTCACAGTGGAAAAAGATTGAGAAAAAGAGAACAGATAAGAAAAGCAAAGTTGAGTACAGCTCATGCTGATCGATCCGAAAGTTAATCAGATCACTGTATATTCTCAAGTCGAGTTGAAGACAACTCACCTGACTACAAGACTAAAATTTATCGTTTCTGTTCTTGCAATCGTATACTAACTCAAAGTTTGGCCACTGGATGACTCACTGCCTTACAACTTTTGTATTTTCGAAGGACCTTGGAAAATGTCTTTGCTATCCCATCTGTTCTTTCCAACATACCTTATATTTTTTGAAGACATTACCGATGGGGGTTCAGGAGCCCTAATTTGCTATTATTTATATCATCATCTTGATTGCATAGCTGTGAACATTCATTGTCCATTTATTTCAGGCCTTGATTCTCCGCCCTCGAGACCTTCCGCTTTGATGTCGGTAAGTCGTTCAGTTCAGCTAACTGGACTTTACTCAAAGTCTGAATACATGGCATCCCAATTGAGGTCGCTTGATCCACTTATCACGACCATTGTTCCACATGAACCGGCTTTGGACGAACTCGAAATCGTTGGACAAAAAGAAATGGATTCGAATGACAGGTAGACGAAACCGCTTTTGTTCTTTGTATGCGTCTGCAAAACTAAACGGAAAACGATCTACTTGAAGAACTCATCTCAGCTTCCATTTAGGAGGGGCATAAGCCGCAAAACCTTTAAGAGTGGAGAACTTTTTGCGCCAGAATGTTGCACTCTGTTGCGTATGTGCTCAAACCAAACACCATTCCGATCTACGTTCTTATATTTGCAGCTCACCAAATTTAACTATCCACTGAAGCAATCATACTTCTGGCAAAAAAGCCTGGTAAAATAATTTCCCAGCATAGCTAAGATCCCGGGATGCCCAAATGGGGCTTAAAAGTTTGGACTGGTACTCTGTATTCCATTGCTCGATTGGTTTAATTCATGGAGCATACGTCATAGCTTTCGAAAATTCAATTCCATTTTGTGAATACTGAGCTCCCAGTTAGGATGAAATTAGACGTCTTGCTCGATTGGCTCATAAAAAACTATTGAAAAGCCATTTCAAGCGCAGTTTGATCGGTTGAGACATTCGGACGAATGGACCAGCGAAGGCAACCGTGGTTTAGTTATGGCTGCATTGTGTCTACGATACCCGCGAAATGCTTCAGCTCTCTCGCGTCACGTGACCACCGGGAAGGTGAAGTCGATCACGTGATATGAGCAGATGAGTGGAAGGATTACCGACCACGCCGACCGAGTTAGCTGGCCAGCGAATGACGCGTCAGTGGTCGCATTTGGCGTGGACACGATGAGAAATTGTGTGGCTGAGATTCACAACTGCACACAAATCCTACTCAGCCTTTCGATCAGCGTAGAATAAACATGCGGCTTTCAACACAATACACGGTCTTAGGCTTGGGATGAAGTTTTGCTTTGAGTAACTGCTTTTTAGGCAAAAATCCTGTATGCAGTTTGATAACACTGAAAGAACGGAGCTGCACTGCAAGACCTGGTAACAATTATACAGAAAAAGCACTTCATAGTGGAGCCTAGTTTATTGGATTCAATGTTGTTTTTATTAATTCCGAGGTATCCTATTGCCGAAATGTTTCGTTCCGTGCAACTTTTTTCTCTCAAGAAGTATTACACATTACCTTTGGAATGATACTGTATTTTCCCATCTCATTAGGTTTGACCTTAGGTTGAAATATCTTAGTGAACTTATTTTGACCTTGCCAATTTTATCCACCCTCTATTGATTGTGGTGCATTATTTGCTTCTTAGAAACCTTCCAGAAAACACGGAAAATGTACCTGTTTTCATGGGCCTCAGTGTAACAAACCAGCAGGAGCAACATACTCAAGTACCACAGTTGGAGACGGATTCTCCAAAACGGAACGTACCCCAAAGTTCGTGTCCGTCTCTGATTATTCAAGGTCAACCTGTAGAGTGGTTAGCCGATCCTGACGAGCAAAATGTATTAGATATCGACGTTGTACTTCATGTAAGCTTCATTTGCATGGTGGATTCAGATTGTCGGGGGTATGACTCAATAGGGTTTTATTCATTAGGATTGAAGTTCTCTTGATATATCACTTTTTAGGAGTGTCTCCGCTTGATTTCCGTGATAAACTACGCGCATCTCATTTGAGACCCCTTATCTTTGTGGGGTAACCGAAGAAACAGAACATGTGTGACAGATACTTCTCAAACTGACAGCACTATCGACCAGTGCCGAAACAAATTCGAGCGGTCATCCCCAAGGTATTCCTTACAGCTCCTTACTAAACACAAATTAAGACGGCCCAGGACCTTCAACATCCCATCAGCAAGATAAATTTGTTTTAATTGCCAGAATGGCTTAAACGGCAATCTTCCCCCATAGCGGTCGCTCTGGTGTGGATAACGGCTGTAAGGGCTATCACTGGTTAGATTTAGTACATTCACTATATACGACACAAATCATTTTGATAAAGCCGTGGTTTCGATCAGCTAACCCAAGTTCTGGTAACCTCCTTCAATGCGTAACTCCCTTCCCAATCCCCCACTTGACGGCCCACTGACAGTGCTGGATTCATGCACATCATCTCCCGCCTGCAATACGCCCCTAACTTACACTCCCCCCCCACAAGTCATCGGTGAACGAAACTGCGGCATCTACAACCACTGTACGACGAGTACGCGGTTATTACAGTTGACAATGATGATGATGATGGCACGTCAATTTACGGACTGAATTCAAAACCCTTGACCTTTATGTATGTGCTACCTGAGCCTCAGTTTATGTTTCAAACCTCGAAAAGAGTTCTGACAAGAATTGATGCGAAGCTTCATGGCCGTTAATAGCATTAGATGTGCGGATGTGTTCCTGTAACCCTCGCCATAGGTGTGTTCATATGTGTTTCCGAATTACGCAGAACTGTGAGAACATCACTAATGTACACTAGTTACCCTAAATTAAACAAGCCAGTCGACTTCGTTCTATGAAGGAGACTCCGGAAAAAAGGTTGCCATTCGGTTTGGGACTCCCGTAGGATTTCTAACAAAATTGTAAATTCCTGCTAAAATCACCCTCAAAACTAAAGTTTCTTCGAGGAAATGTCACAATTAAAGGACCATTAAAGTTATATAGACACAATTACGATCCGGATTGTCTTGATTAGGAACACAACGGCACATACATCGGTATACTTACCTCTCTGCTTGGTGATTTGGGAAGGATGCTGGCCAGATTCAGCCATATTCACTGGGGCTTCTTGTTGAGTTGCCATATATCTTATTAATGAATAAACAATTACTGTAGGCCAAGATCATTACTGGGTGCCTGTTCTGAAAGCCAATCTCGTACTGAAAACCCAAGACACTCATTTAGAGTTTCTGTTTGCTTTGGACATCCTGAGGTTTCTGGATAAATACATGGTTCATTTGGGCAAACAGAGATGAGAATTCCCAAAGGCAAGACAGATAAGAATTTGCGATTGCCTTGTTTGGAGTAGTTGTCCCGTACATCTAAACGTATCTGATGACCACTTGTCTCTTTCATGGTCGACCTTTTTACCAGGACAAAAGTATCCCCTAGAATAACTTTTATAACCAACTATATCTGCCAAAACTTTGATCTTACGGGAATTACTCATGACAAGAGAGGCTTTTGTTGTTGATCAGTTTGACCTCATTATGGTGTGATCTGGTAGCGTGCACTGGGTGTGGGCAGATTAGACGAGTATCCGTTGCCGAGAACGGACATAATCACTGTTCGCTCTTATTACTCCGCTTAAGAAATCCTCTTTGGGGAACCTCCTATCCTGACGTAATTATTCTGGCCAGTATAAAATAAACAGGAGAAAAATCGAATCCAAATTCCGTTCTCAGTGGAGCTAATTCACAATGCCTGTCTTTAGTGGTACCGGGTTTGAACCGAAAAAATCTGGCAGATGAGCGGAGCATGTCCAAAAGTTTGGATAAGTTAATCTCATTACTCAGTCGTGAACACGCTATCAGCTCGGACGTGATAATTTGGGTACGTCCAGTATTCCCCGGTATGATCGTAATAACACGCTGCCCGAAGTTCGAGCCCGAGCATGGCATCGCTGATTAGCTCTAGTAGGAGTCTAATGCTCTTCCCCCTCGAATTGGGCTTATCAGAATAGGTGCGCCAGAACAGGCCGAAGACTGTTCAAGCAAGAATGACGTGAATAAAGATGCTAAACTTCCCGCGAGGACCTACATTCAAAAACAGTTATACCCGTTTGAAAGCTGACTCAGAGGCAGGTAGTCTACATATGCCAAAATATCACCACTTGGTCCCTCTATTTTATGCATTCCTTCTCTCTATGATGTTTGCTTGTATTTCTATTAGTCCACAGATCCACATGTGCGAACAGAATACTTAACACTAATGAACAACGGGAGGACCATAATATTTTACGAGTGGAATGTAAGTTAGTACCACCGCCCTTAATTTCATGTGGATGGGAGATCTTAGTTGTTGACCATCGTACCATGAGGACAATTCAGTGTTTATGGCGTTTTAACTTCTCCTTGAAGTTTGTTTTTCATCGCCCGGTCGACTTTGAACATCTCGCCAAAGAACAGAATAGATCTTTTGAGAATGCCAATCTGTCACTGGAGTTTCAGCTTATATGCCTGTATTTTCTCAGTCATGAATAGGTTCAAGTCCCATTTGTGATCACTCACAAGTAAAGTGGTTTTTGCATTTGTGGATACACAGCAGTCGTACCTAAAACCAAAGAATCCAACCAGTTGTGAAAACCAGACAGACTTCGTGAACGGTGTCAGTATCCACGTACAACAAACCAGTTCACTACTGAGGATCCGAGTTTACGGACACAGGTAACGGCCACGGACCACCCAGAAAAATGCTGGCGAGTCAGACAAACTGCAGTGGAACGCGGTAATCTTGACGTCTAGCCTAACAACTTATATATTATCCAAATAGCACTTTACGCAGATGGTGTTATACATAACCAGAAGCTATTCACAAAGCTCTGTTATGCTCCGTTTGTCATCCGATCCTGGTCATCCTATCGAGTGAAGTCATGTCAAACACTTGGTACAGTCACTCAACCTCAAGGCCAGGTGTCATCCGGATATATCTGCAATATACATACATCTGAACCATATCACTGCTACCCTTGTTTCTCCCTCATTCTTTTCAAAGGGCTCTTACGTCTTCATATCCGAAACAATATATATATATATATCATTAGGAAAGGGGCCGACACTCAATCTGAATCCGGGTTTCCAAAGTGGCAGCCCACAATCCTAAGCACTTGTCAGCCGAGGCAGCTTGACTGCATGGACTGATACGTGCCCTATGAATACATTAATTTCAGTCTTTCGTTCCTTTCAGTGCACCACTCCTGATGGTCAAAGTGTATGATTGTCTTGGTTTACAGGGTCAATGTGTAATTTCGAGTAGTGTATAGCTTTAAAAATTTAAATGCCCAGTTTTCAAATGGGAGGGGAAGAACTCCAATAGAGGCATCCTGTCTATCCATGGAAGAAATGTATAATCTCCGTAAAAAATTTACATCACTGAGTTAGATGACATTGCTAACTATGGTCTTTAAATGATCGATTTTTTTAATGAAACCAGAATTCATTGTATGTTTTGGCTCTGTGGATCATCACCTTCACTTGTAAAAGCCCATAATTCCTCAGCATGAAACCATGCGAGTTTAAGCAGGTACAGTAGTGTCATTAAGGAAATAATGATAACTGTAGTAGGGTGATACCTACTACTAGCCTGTCATAACCATTTGACCTTCGTTTAACCGGTTTCCCTACCAAAGAACTCATCAAGACTTTTTGTATAAGAACTGGGTACATCGATTTAGTCACATACCCTGTAATTGCTCGCCAAATCCAGGCAGGATCTGGGTAAGTTTGCAGACAAAACCTAAGCTGTCTCTACTGGATCTGCTTTCGTAGTTGTGGAAAGAATACTCATGGATCAACTAAAATTTATCTTTCATGTGGCAAATTTCTTTTAACTGGTATCAATCTTCATCACTGCGAATAAGCCTGAATCTTTCCCATCAGGACCAGCTAGGTTGACGGCCTCATTCTTCAGCCTTTTTCTAAACACAGTTGAGCTTTTTTTAATTTTGACTTTGGACCTCAATAGAAATAATGACACAAAACGAACACGCCCGTGGACGGAACTCAAACCCTGGAACTTTCACCTGCAGAATAGATGCCATTTCAACTGAATTATCCAGACAGTACTACTTCGAATTGATGGGGGACATATGACGATTTGCGTAGTAGTGCCCTTTAAATCTCCAGAAGTCACACGACGGACCAACCACTGATACTGAGATACCTTTAATTCGCTTGATAGATGTCGGTGGAGTCGTAATTTAATTGAGGTGCAGCTGTGCAACGTGGAGCAGCGTTCCCAAAACCTCAGGGCACATGGGTAGCGGGGTAGAGTCCCGATCAAGAACGTCTGTCTCCTCGCTTATCCTACGATAACTTAGATCCTTATTTCAGCATATGCACATCGTTGCCTATTCTACGATTTAAGCTTTTCAACTCCCAAGTTCTATTCACTTAATGGAACGCCAGCGCATAATCGACTGCTTCCGGGAGCATGAATTTTCCAATTGTATAATTAAAACCCAGCCGATCATTTCTGAGCTAGTGGGTCCAGAAGCTTTTAGTTCTTGATGTCAGCCTGTATCAACTTTACAAAAAAATACAGCAGAATACTGTGAATACGCCTACCTTCTATTTCTAGAAAAACCCAGATTCATCTCTCTTCGACTCTGCGCATGCAAACTTCTACTTTGATAATCGGCAAGGTGAGTGAGTTAGTTATTGCTGCTCTTTTAAGAAAAAGTTTAACGAAAAAGAGCGTTAGTGGATAGGCTAGTTGCTTCGTTTCGGGCGATTATTCTTTCTAGGACAATACAGCGCTGCTTCATCTGAAAGTACGCTGACCTGAGCGAACAAGAATCACGTCGACATACGGCGCAGCAGACTGGACATATTTCGCCCTCCATGCAGTCACTGTTGTTGATTAGCTATCCTAGTGAAAGGAAGAAGGCCTTTGCTGTGGACTTGTTCATTGGGGAACCACCAAATGAACAGTTATAGACTATTGGACAGGAAAGCGAAACTCGCATATGCGTCTTGTTTATGAAAGCTGTTCATCCGTTTTCCTCTGGAACGCGTCTTCCTGAGACTTTCGTTATACTCACTGACTATCACTTAGACGTAAACGAATGATACAAAGCGATTTCATAAATTCCGTAATAAAGCTCGCTTTTCAGTAGACGCGAAACGGATTTATGAGGAAACCACGTACTACATGCATGTGTCATAAGTAGTATCCACCGTTACACCAGTATTCCCCACCGTACACTTACGTGTAAGGTCCCAATCAGTAGGTGATTGTTCCAGTTTCGCCAGCATTAATCGACTCCCTTTTCCCAACAACACTTTTGATATTCAGGTCATTAGACCACAACGCGACCAGACTCCATTAAGAACCAATAAGTTAGCCAATCTCCAAACAACCAGTCACGTTAAAGTATGTAAGCACTGTCTATAAACTACATCAATATAAAGAGGCTCGAGGGATTTACCCACCCAATGACGACGTCCCGTCGTGTATTCGCAATCCAGCCGTGAACTTCGATGAACAGATCATCTACTGCCTGATCTACAGTCAACAAAATTACCCTCGATACTAATAGTTAGGCACGTTAGTTCATCTGTTCCGTTCAGCGTGTCCTACATTTTGTAGCAAAGCAAGAAATGGTCTCATCCTTGAAGCCATGTAATAGCAACGAATCACGGTACGCAGTATGCACTGAATGCGGAAACACCTTCCGTAAACATGTCTGTAAAATTGCTTTGAAATTATTCACCTCGTCGACAGTTGGTTCAGCCTTGTTTCGGATACGGATACTCCAAACGTGAAAAAGAGTGGGTATTTTGATGAAAATTTCCAGGGAAAATGCGGCTAAAACTTTGGTCTTATTCGTTCACCAAGCTTTCTAATTATGTCATTCCGAAATTCAGGGGCACTAACCATGTAAGCCACTCTGGAAACTGCTATCACGCGCGCTGTTCTGATTGGTTATGCACCTTGGAAAGCTACCGTATGTCAGCTGCCACTGCTATTAACACAACTGGTTGCTGTCCCGATCAGTCGATTGTTTCACCATTATATGCTATACCTATTCAATATAAAGATTGTATTTTTTATTTTCACCTATTTTTCCAACTATCTATATAACAGGGACTATCCTTCCTGGGGACGAAGTGCGAATTCCGGTCACTTTCAAAGCCCTCCGCGAAGGCATTTTTAGGGAAACATGGCTAGTCACCGCAGTTCCACAACTTCGAAATCGGGCCCCAATACAAGTTACCTTTTCCGGACTGGCTATTTGGAATGACGCGTACCAGTTCCACTGCGTTCGAGAAACGCCACCTTCTGTCGTGGTAAGAAGTTCAGATGACGACTACTCTTTACTCTGCTTAAGAAAACAGTAAAAGACTGATTTTTTCAGAAACTAATATCATGAAAGGTATGAAAACTCGCATCAGCCCAAATTCGCTTCCCTCTTAGAAGCGCGTGCTTTTAGGCATGAAGTTTAAAACCTTCTTTACAACTCAGCTCCCTACGTATAGATGAAGATGAGCGTAATTTTATTGATTTACTCAAAACGAAACGCGATGACAGTTACAATCTATTGGGTGGGGTAGATACCTGACAGATTATCAAGTAAAACCTGACCAGTGTATTTGGCGTGGGCATTCGATTGGTCCAGTGCCACTCTGGCACCTCTTCACCCACTTCTTCTAGCTCTTTCAGGCAGTCATCATCCTTTGATGTGGGTGTGGTTATTTTTCACTAACTAATTGGTAATCGAGGCATCTTCCGAGGACACTTACCGATAAGAGCACACTCGCTCAAGTCTATGAGCGCTGAAAGAACAATGATTTGTTAGTTTATTTGGTCGCGAATCCCAAGTACACTAGCTCGCTCAAGGCTCAGCAGGATGAATGGCGGTACGTGAACCACAACAGGTTTTGTTGAGGATTTTACCAAGGTGTGCAACTCGGAACAACAACTGACTGATGAGAGACAGCAAACCTGGAACGCGATTGGTATGTATGCATGGGCTTGAAGGGACGCGTGTGTGTGATTGGTAAGTGGATGTCTTTGGTAGATTGATCCATTGATCAGGTGGTTGATTAACTGACTGATTGATTCGCTGGGTGGTTAATTGTATGATCACCGAATGATCGACTGATTGGCTGGCTGATTGATCGATTGGTTGGCTGTTTGATTGATTGGTTGGTTGGCAGTATATTCGCTGGGCATCATCATCATCATCGACAGCATGACATCAGTGTTTAACACCGATGCTTTACTGCCGTACAACCATGACTTATTTGAAAACCTGAGCACTGAGCGCGACATGACAAAGATTTCTTGCATCCTTTTCCTCACTACCAGACTGCACAACACTGCCACATAGGGCTTCACACCCAGAAAAGTGTTTCCTGGGACGTTCTATCAAGAAAGTACATCCTGTCCGGTCACCTTAACATAATAAGAAAAGATGACTGGTAGATGTTTTAAATAATTTCTTCCTGGTGGAAACGCTACTTACTCCATTCGCTTAGTGTCGCAAACATCACTTTCCTGGGTCAGAGTGTTATGTAGAAGTGTTATCGATCTTTGTAAGACTCTGATGACTTAAAGGTCGTTCTAGCTGAGGTATGAGGCGACATTTAAAGAGCGCACTTAGGTGAGGAATAGTCCAAAGGAGGAATTCCAGTAAATTTCAGCCGAATCTCTACTCAACACCAACTCCATTTGAAAATCAATGCTTGTCGACAATGAAGTTCCGATTAGTTTTATTTAATTCAGCGACGATATTCTAGAGTTCTAAATGCGCTGAAAAGGAAATGCATGAGAGCGAATACTTCACACAACCTTTTCAGCAACTGGCTATCGTGAATTTTGTTTCCCCACTGAATGGCCAAACGTCTGACTGACTGACTCCCGCACGCAGTCTCTCCTTCAGATGACGACTAACTGGATGGTTCCTTGGTCGACTGATTGATAGACAAACTGACTGCTTGATTAAGTGACCTATTTGTGTGCTAACAAGAAGACACATGAGTTGTAAAAATATCTACCAAACTGGCTAGATGTTTAATTATTTCAGGTCTTAGATTATTAGCTAAATGGTCGATGAATAAGTGACCAATTGTATGGAATCACCGACGAATGAATGAAAGATCAACTGGTTGGTTGTTACCGTCATTCCTTGTTTGTTTGTTTGACAGTGATTGACCGGCTACCTGGTCAAGTGGTTCGATAACTTGAGTAATTAACATACAGATACGCAAAAGATATGAAAATTTTGCTAGCCTTTAGCAGAAGCCCACGTACAGATAATGCGAATCAAAGGACACACGTTTTAGGGGTGATTGGCTGAACCACTTGTGATGCACCCCCATACAGGTGCCATACCAGCTGAACCACCTATTTAGATGAAATATATGGAGGAATAAAGAAATAAATTCACAAACATTTTAAGTGAATAAGGCGTTGAAACCCGTCTTTATGTCATGAAAGTGCTTGAAATAACGTTTGTTTACCTCGCTACTAGCGGTGATCGACTACCGTTTTCGTCCACTATCAAGTAGGCCTCTCCCCGGAATCTCTATTAACCTTGTTCTCTACTTGAAGACCTCTTACTCACTCCATTCTCTTTACACTCGTCGACTGTCATCTGCGCAGAAGGGCGTCTCCACAAACTGTCACGGATTTCAGTTGTTTTCGGTTGGTGATCGATATTCAATTAGAGGGCTGTTTATGCGGCACAATGTTGCTTTTAGGTTTTCCGGGTTGATTCAGGGAGGAGCCGCGTAATCAGTAGACTTCAAAGATATATTTATCAAGCAGTGCAGAGGAAGTCCTTAGCTTGCAAACCCTCTGTTACTCAAAATTTCACGCTATATTTCCAAAAATGTGCGGGTAACTAAATTTTCTTATTTTATACATTTAGGTTCAACACGAGGCAAACTATATGATGGTTTATCGCCTGCTCAATCAACTTGTGATGAGTTTCGAGTGTCCCGAACGTCCCATCACCCCAGAGGATCCTTTGGTAACAGAAGAAGAGATATTCAAAAAGAGCAATCCAAAGGTTCTCGTCTTACTTTTATAATTTGTGGATGCTCATTGCACCATCCATCACTAGTCCTTTCTATATCATCATCATCATTATTAGCTGTAAGAACCGCGTACTAGTCGTACAATAGTTGTAGCTGCCACAGTTTTGTTCACCGATGATTTGAGGAAGTAGGGTAGGTGGCTGCACGTTGGAGACATGAGCTGATAAATTCGTGCGTAAATCCAGCGCTGTCATTGGACTGATTAGTGAGACGAGATATGCAGTGAAGGTAATAGATTGGATGTACGAGCGCCATTAAAGGCGCAACTGGGCCTTGTCTGACTATGTCTCTAACCACTGATATGATCTATCTCCTGGTCCTCATCCAGGAAGATGGCATTGACCAGCGCAGCTGACTTTTCTGACAATGGCTTGTATGCTTCACTTCTAAGCCTTTTTTGACCTCCTATGACACTTTTCAACCCTTCACGTGGTTGCGCGAAAAGAAACTTTCGTGGAAGTCAGTCGACTGGCATACGCAGCACGTGGCTAAGCCAGCGCAACCTATGCAGTGAGATCAGTTCATCTATTGTGGGGAGTTGTCTCTTCCGAATACCACCAGACTCGGGCAATTCTCCGGAGATATTGAACTTCTTTTGATATCTTTGGCGCGCAGCAGCCATGTTTCTGATCCGTATTATAATGTGGATCGCACCGCAGCATTATAAACTCGACCCTTGACGGTTAAGCTAACGTCACACCTAAGCCACAGGTGACGCATGTTCATAAAAGCTCCTCTGACTTTCCCAATCCGAATGAGAATATCATCCTTCACGAGATCACCGGGAGTGATACAGCCACCCAGGTAAACAAATTTGTCTACTACTTCAATCTGCTCATCCGCAAACATGAGTTGGATTCCGAGCCCACTCAGTCTTACAGTAACACTTCACGCTTTGCCAGACAACTTACGCACCCGTTTGTATCATAGTAGCCTTCAAATGCAGTTTGAATATTTCCTGGATTAAAACTAACATAATCATACTAAAGACCGCATTTGAGACAATACCACCTGTTTATACCAGTCACTTCAAAAGTTAATGCACTTCGACATTAATTCAAGTGAACCTGTTTTATTCATATTTCAAAAATGGTACCAAGAGATAATAGCGAAAAATGCACACCTTTTCATCAACTGAATCAGAACGGGATGAACGTCACCCTTTTACCCTTGAGCGTCAAGTGATTTTGTCAAGCGCAGTAAGTAACCTCATACAAGACGTTCAACAGAAACATTGTTTCTGCATTATTCCTTCAACTGCTATTCTCTCGAATCGAACCCCGACGTAACCGCTATCACTGTGATTTTGGAGAAAGCGACTGAGCTCATAGACACCAGGTATTTCAGTTAGCCTTGAAACTACACAACCTGGATTCGTTCTATCAGAATGTGTCGGGTTTATGAAACGTGTTATCATTTGGCGTCAGGTATCATTTTTTCAGACAGATTGATTTAATGAATATTATTCAGTTTGCTGCAAGTTTTACTCTCTCTATGGTAAGTAGCAGTTAGAATACTGGCTCAAGAATCCAAAATACAGATATGTCTACAACCACTAACCAACCGCTAAGCACCACTATGCTCCCAAATAATGCACTGATGATGTCACCTCGATTGGTGGTGAAACTTTTGCAATCAAGCTGCCCAGCTCAACAAACAAGCCAACGACCAGATATCCCTACTATTTTTACAATTTTTTCTTTATTTTAGCTTTTCTACCATTACGATGTTGTACAAAAATTGCAGAAGCTTCACCGTGACCTAAGAATCCGTCAACTAACGCCGCCTGACGAAAATGGGTGCACAGATGTTCCCGAGCCTGAACCGTGGGACTATTCTGTACGAAATCTGAGAGAGGTAATCTTCGAGTTGGTTAGCGTTATTCACGCCTTTCTGTGTACTCTGTTAGTCAGATTCGTATGGCATGTCGATCCATCTTGTCTAGACGTTGCACCATTACTTGGTTTGTTGTGTCGACTGTTTTGTCCGTTCACCGTTGACTGCCGCTTACCCAAAAAACAGCGCTGACTTTACGCATGTTATCAGCTGTTGATCCAACCACTCTGCTTAAAATTTAGGCCGAAAACCGGTTGGTTCGTTTTGTTACTCCCTATGGCACTCAACAGAATGATTCAGACATTGCAGCGCATCTTTCGTATTTAATGATCACTTAGTGTGACGTGTTCACAATCGTCCTGAATAGATTTTCGTATTTCTTAGCGACAATGTAGAAAACACCCAAATTTTGTGACATTTTCCTGGTACTGATTGGGCGATGTACTCTACCAAAGCAGAACATGATTGCTGATGAGAAAAGTATAGTGGTTCTTTCGTCCTGATAGGAACTCACTAGATAGGTGTAGGAGAATCGATTCACTGTGTTTCTGAGTTACAGCGGCATCAAGTGATCGATAACTAATTTCATCTGTATGCATGAATATGGTGAATTGGATTGATTCCTCTAGTTGGCGCAGTGGCAAACGTCGAAGACCCCTTCTATTAAGCAGTGGACAACTATATATTAGGGCCCGGTCAGAACAAAATGCATGACCAAATGTTTTTTAGGATCAATCACATAGTAAAATCCCCATATATTTCGCTGGGTGCTCATCATGGCCCCAGAAAAGAATCATTCAACTTTAGGAATATCCACCTGAATAAACTGGTTCCTAGTGGAGTGGAAATTTGGGTTACCTGAGGAATGATTAGGAGCTATTAACCATACCTGAGGAATGATTAGGAGCATATTAACCATTTTTTTTTCAGTTTCGAAAGAATAGTGTCAACAGCTACAAATTTAGCTAGTATTGGTGGATACGAAACTGAGCCATTCCTAGTTTTGAAAGCGTTCTGCTCTTGTGTCTCTTGGCGAAACGTAAATTCTCTACGTGAACAGCAATCTGAACCCGAATATTTGTCTCCGAGAGGAGGAAAAACGCTATATGCATAACTCCTATTATCAACATTCTAGATGATATACGCCGATGAACCTGAAAGTGGTCACGCGGATATTGTGAGCAAACATCAAACAGAACTTGATACTTTCTTCAAATGTGCTGACAAACTATGTTTTGCACCGACAGAGCTGATGGTCAAACGCGGAACAAAACTGTACCAAACAGGGTAGGTACTTTTGAGATGATTTCTTTCCCTGGTAACTTTGACGATCGTTCAATGTTGTAGGAAGAATTCAATTTTTGCCCTTTACATTTTCAGCATCATTTTGTTTGATTCTCGGCTGAACGTTACGTTCAACTGACGATAACTTCCACCGTGTTCACGGAACTTCAAGGCAAATTTTCGTCGACCATGAAAAAGCAGCACAAATGTGCTACTGATTTTGAAAAAGTAGTAATAAAAAATTCGCGCTGTCTCTCAACATGCCCTTTCCGCTCTTTCGATGAGGGTCGCGGATAGAATTCACACATAGTAGATTGGTTTATCCTACAAGGTCTTCAAATCCGTCCAAAGGAAATAAAGTGTGGTAAAGCACATAGCATCTGAAATGACCTTCAGATTAGTTGCACCCGTCTTTTGCCCTTCGTACATACTACCTTAGTGTCTGTGTTATCTTGGACGTTCGTTCCGACTTAGGCCATAGAGGATGATTTACCCTTCTGAGGCTCACAGTCACTAGTGCTGGATAGAGAGATATAGTTACTGACTGAATCTTGTTGCTTAGAAATGAGAAGTAATTGGGTTCTGTATCACCGTGGTCTACTTTTTGTTCCAGTTATCAATATTTGGAAATCACACTTGTCAATCTCTTCAATCTGTGCTCGAGACTACGACGGAATCACGGCTTGCCAGAACTGACCACAGGGACTACTACAGGTAGCCAAGTTTGAAGAACAAACTCATTTTGATGAGTCATGTTCTGTTATATACAAAGTTTTTTAACTTATGCAGCAGAAAGCCAGACCTTTAACCGGACCTTAAAAGCCGGGACAGATATATGAAGCTGAATTTACTGCCAGCATGGTATCAAAGTCAGTCGTAAGTGAAGAAGAGGTTAAACAGTAACGGGTGTTCTGGAGTTCAGACCCTTGATATGTGTTACTACAGTCCCAACCATACGACCACGTCAAAACATCAGGTTGAACTTGGGGCCAATTATTTATCGAACTCCATATTTACCAAATTCCAAAGCTCAACTGAGCATATCAGCAATGCACGAGGACACTGGCCGGACGGTCTTCAGCTACACATCAAGTGAGAGTCTCAGCTGGACCGGTTGTTCTCACCAGCCGTGTTCCTAGACTGACAGTGGCCGATCCTTTTGTGGCGGGATTTTGTACAAAATTTCTCCTTCTGTCTCTTAGGGAAACCTCTCAACCTGAGAAAGATTCTAGGTCGCAGAATTTCCCTGCTAAAACTTCTCCAAGTAAAGTTTTTCGGAACCGATTAGAACCGATTTACTCTCCACCGGAAAATTCCATGTCACTGACTGTCACGCTGAACGTTTGATATCATGTATACTAATTATTCATTCGTAGTCAGACTTGAACTGGATTGGCGAACAATGTAGCTCAGAGGTTGAATTGAAATACGTTTTCTTGATATAGTATCTAGTTTGTGGTTTTGTTTTTGTGCACCTAGTAGCTGAAAAATCGCCTTTTCCTAAATGTTTTGAGAGATATGGGTATATCACTTTTAGGAGGGGTAGCTTACCAGAAATTTTCGTTTTCATTTGGATCACGAAATGTCGTTCGTTGGAAAAATTTCCTAGGAGCGATAAGTTTTGGCCAGGCTTTTGAGAAGATCCTGCGTGAGAATGGCTACTGTGTACGCAGCCGAATTTGCCAAACATATACACAACTGCATTAACTTACATTTCCCGAATATCTTTCGGGTTTCTAACATTACGCTGATAAGAATAGCCGGCTTGATACTTTTCATTCCCGATACTGAAGTTCCCTAAACATAGTTCAACTGTGGTCTTTGAGGAGCCTGATGAAGCTCCAAAACTCAGAAAAGCCTCAGTATCTAGCATATTCTGTTATATTCTGAAGAATGGGATAGAATTCTATATACCTCAATTAAATTACTGCACTTTTTACCTATAATTTGACGGTTTGTTTTCTTCTTCATGGGCAACCGCCATTAGGACATTATTCACATAAGGAGACAATCTTCGTTGGTCCCTTAAGGTGCATTTCAACGGTACACAACCCCCATAGGATGGCCATTCTCGGAAAAACACATTTGGTTTTTTGAATCGATCAACCGTAAGGTTATGTCCATTGAAAGCGATTGTTCTCCAGACGAGATTCCCTCTCGGTTGACGGCGTGTGAAAAAGACTCTTCGTCTCAGACAAACCGTGCGGAGGTCAGCATTAGCTCTCTTTTAACATTTGGTATTCTCCGATGGTTGAGGGGACTCAGACCTTGTTTCAGGAGCCACTTTTTATGGCTGGAACCAGGTAAACATTGGCTTGTGAGTGTAGCTGACTGTTCGCGAGCTGGTGTCTATTGTCCATCAGCTACGTCAATGTGTACCAAGACCGACTGGTCTGCTAAGTCCATTTGACAAGGTCGCAAGTCAGATTATGAGTCATCATAAGTTGCTAAACGCGGATTAGCTGGCAAGACTGTGCAACGAGTGTGCGTGCGTGCTTGCATGCGTGAGAGTAACCTGATTGGTTGCGCTTGTATATGCGTCATACCGTCTAATGGCTTCAATAACCATACACTCATCGCTCCAATTATGTTTTTATACACTTCCAGAACCCGGGGAGAACACACGCGTGCCAAGGGCTACTGAGGTAATCCTTTGACGAACACATACTTAAGTGTGAAAATTAGCAATAAGCCTCTTACGCCAGGGGAAACTGTTTCATTGAAACATACCCGACACTCTTGAATAAGCCTTTTGTTTCTTCTTCCAGCAAATTATGAGCTGTTCTCCAGCCGTTTTTAATTGCTTCGGAAACTTCCTCATCATTACGTCAATGTAGCCTGTTCTACACTGGCGAGGAAGGTAGTGAAAAGATACTGAACTGAATGGACCAAAAATTTGGCCGAGAACATTTTAAAAGATCCTGATATTTGGCGTCTTCCTGACCTATAGTAGGGCTCAGATGTTCTAATCATGGGCAAAAGAACTGATTGGTTGAATGACAATCTTTAGCAGTTTCATGCCTTCGATGTTCTGTATATGCTCGGTACCCGCGATGTGAGTATGTTTAGGATGTCTGAGGTATGGCACCAAACAGTTTATTGCATTTGTACTGCATTTGCTGCATTTGTACTTCCGGTTGCTAAAAGTTGAGCACGTCAGCTGATGTGCTTCAGGATGCGGAACTGGCTTGGTAGGCCACCAAGAATAGAACGTGTTCTACACGAGGTAAAGGGCATGACAACGGAGACAAGTATTGACATAACAGCAAGATATAAAAATGGAAGCTGTATTACATAATACGGATTGGTGATAGAAATGCAGTGCGATTTCCAACAGGTGACTGACCTGATGTGGTATGAGTCTATTTGTAAATGTACAGTTCCCGGTTGTATGTGGGCTGGGATACTGCCACGACGCCCATGCCCAGATAGGATTAGTGTCCCAACTAAAAACCTTTGGCTCAAAATTCTGACCTCAAGTCAGCGCTGTCTGGCTGGATATGCAAGTATATTACCAATTTTACGGAACGCGTCGTCACATATGTTCCAACCCCAAACCTGGAGGACCAGGAGACTGTGTTCTTCAGAACTCTAACCATTGACCAAACTGGTATGATAGACTCTGCAAGTGTCGCGCGGACATCCCCCAGTATAGCTCACTGAGTCGCCGATGTACGTAAACCGTTATATTACGGAAAGTTCAGTCTCTTTGTGGCGGTTCCTATCCGGTTGTTGTTGGTTGGAACTTTCCTGGACGGTAAATCATCGACTCAAAGACCGCCTATTGTGATAGTGTCAGCAAACTCGTAGAAATATATTTCGTGATTTTCTTCCTTGGCCTTCTGCTATCTGTCGATGCTTACAAGGCATCTGATTCACTGATTTATCGAGGAATCCGGTTAGGGAAGGAAGGTGGCGGTACCGCAGTTTCATTACTGGGGTATAAAGCTAGACCTTACGAGTAAAGCCTCTGATAACTTTAATGCAAGTTCACTATGACTCCTCAATCATCGATTCGGTGGAAAATTCAGCGGGATCTGATGAGTGTTCCTTCTCTCAAGGAACAGTTTACTATATGGAAAGAGAAAGCTATCTAGAGAAATACACTCATTTGCAAACAAATTTGCTTTTGCGAGAGACTCACCTGGAACCCAGGTAAATCGCTCGCTCGTGATGTGTCCAGGCAAGTGAATGTGCGGCACCAGGCCACCTCATGTTTCAGATTCTACGATATTACAGATATCGCGGTATATTTATATACGTTGCCTGGGAGCATCACAAACGAGTGATTCAGTTGGGTTCCAGGTGAGTCTCTCGCAAAACTAATTTTGTTTGCAAATGAGTGATTCGCTGATTTCGCGTAACTTGGTTTCAAGCAGAACATAAAGTTTACGGAAACTCGGAGACTACGCCTTCCTGATGAGCCCCAAGAAGAGCGAAACTGGTTGTGGGCTGTCGAAGAATTTTCAGCAACCTTATAAATAGTACATTATGTAAAGAAAGCTATTTGGTTCATCCAAGATCATTTAAGCACCCTATAAAACTTTACATTTCGACCGAAAGCATGGATTCTCCTGTAAGGTTATCGTGGGGTTGATTCGCGACAAGAAGAGATTTTCACAGAAATCACTCTGTATGCTAGTGTACTTCTCCATGAAATGTACACTGCGCATCCCTCATCCATGACAAAAGCAGCTCTCGCACATGAGGCAATGGGATGCTTTCCAAATCCAAAATTTGATTTTGTTTGTTCTTTTAAGTTTGATGCGACAAATGCACTGTTTACGGCCGCGGTTCCTGATAGAACTCAAGTATGCAGCTTCAATTTTCCGGTTATCTGCTCAAATCTCTTGCCACATGTCAGTTACCAGTCATTTGAATCTTGACTCTTCTCCACCTCACATGGTGATAGAACTTAGCTTTCTGATTCGTAGAAGCTGATCTACTTCTCACCCACCTGTTTTTCAAATCTTGCACTTGCTCAGCCAACCCAAACGCCTCAAGGTGGATTCCTCAAGGGTCCTCCAGAAGGTTCACACCTTCAGGAAGAAGTGTTGGTGATGCAAGTGGAAGAATCCCTCAGCCAAGAGGCCTTACATTCTTGGCGGCAGAAGATTACCGGAATTATCTACTCGCAGCTTCTCACGTCCATAGGAGAGATGGCCGCCATTTGGGATCAGGCGGAAGGAATATGAACAAGGTGACTTGATGCGCTAAAGCATAACACCTCCCCATGAAAATTCGGTTGATAAACTTGCACCAAACCTATCTTCTATGGGTGCAGTTCTCCGGTAGCTGTCTTTCAGGAGTTGAAGCAAATCTGGATGCACTGATTTATTCCCATGCTGAGGATTTTTATAGCACTCAATCATTAATTAGCTAGTTTCTTCGGAACAAGAATTTCTCTAAGAACTGTCGTCCAGGTGGCTTGTGCTGACTTCATGGCTTAATACTTTCGAATTGTCAATCAAGACTGATACCAAGGTTGTCAGAATTCGTCACTTTCCTTCCAACTTCTCCAAATTTTTACTCTGACACGCTTGATTCAGTTGAACTTTGCCTTGAAACTATGCCCGAATTTGAGATAGTTTCCTTCCCACCCAGTCTCATATCGAGTGTCAAAATACTGGTTGCGACACAAAAGACACCTCGGTAATTCTGTTTCCAAGCATCTCGGGTAGTGCACACCAAAATAGACCGGTAATCGAGATTGAGTTAAGCTTTGGTTCCGATCATTTCAGCCGTCACCGCATTTTTGCGCCCGTCGAGTAGCAGTGTACTTTGTTTGCGTTCAGAAGCTATCCTCACTCTGGCTCATTTACTTACTTACTTATCGTTTAAGGGTCTTTCTCCTGGATCAGTCCGAAATGCACGGACGACAGCTACCCACATCCGGTAAGCGGACGCCAGATCTAAACAGTCGGTTCCATGGGGCTTTCGTCATCTACCCTTTGACCACAGAAATCCACAGTCATATTGACCGGCCATAACTGTATTGTTTCTCCCACCAAAGACCCCTCTGAAAAAGGACTGACTGTTGTATATCCACCATCAGACACAATTGAGCTGCGGCTACGATTAGTGACTGTGGGGATTTCAAGTCCTCTACATATTCTCTAGTGGTTAGATATACTTGGAAATGTAAACACATTGATGTTCACGATACGCTAAGAATGGTATAATATTCTATCAGGTGAAATGTCGTTAATGTCCGAAAGCCCGAGTATCCTTGATTAAGGATTGCCCTTTTTCGAAGCGGGATAGCGGAGTCAACTTTCAATAGTCGCCCTCAAAAGTTGCACTGTCACATAGAGAAATTGAAGCCAACGACGGAAAAGCTGAACTCCAGAGAGACCACTTGTAGCTTAGTCGTGAAGTAGGATAATCCGAGGGAGAGGCAACTGTAATATCCCATAGCAACCCGGTTAAAGTAGACTGCGCAACCAAGTGCAGATAGCACCGTAACTTGTCCATGTGCGTTTCAACATGCTTATAACGTTTCAGTCCCAGTCCTACCGCACACAAACGCATGAACTCATGTCTTCATTTTCAGTAGTTGCAACAAGTAGTCAAGTGTCAGGTGATAATGACTTGTCAATAAGATGACATCCCGTTTTTGGCAAGAACATTTTTTCTGAAGATGGAGGACTAGCAAATTTGGAAATGATGATAACATTGTACCTAAAATAGTTAGCCATTTTTGGGTTGATTAGGCTTGGAGTGAGAAGTGCTACGACAGTGCAGAGTGAAGGTCCAACCAGCGGGCCAGATCCTCGCGCTAGATAAGATACGCTCATCTGAAAATCAAACTGATATAAACGAGTGATTTGGATGTATCTTTCGTTTGTGGGGTTCCTTCAATCAAGGAGCTGCACAAAAACCATCTACGTTTCAGCTGACATGATGGGCAACCTATGCCGGTATATTTACCTGAAAACAAACACTTCTCCAGCTATGTAAGGCTGTCAGAAATCACGTAATCCTGTGGCAATAGTTAACGAGAGGATCACGTGTCCTATTTATTACATCCAAATGGCGAAACCCAAGTAAGGAGGGAGAAAGGACTAGGCTTTTCCCTGACCTAACGAACTTCTTTGGTAATACTTTCAGGATAGGAAAAAGTCGACTGGATTGCGATATCACGATTCCAAGGGGAGCTGTATTAGCGTATTAGCAACTCAGTGTCTGCAGTCTGTCTGACTATAGTTTGCACTACAAAGCATAATGATGCCTAAGAAAGACGACGATGTTGTGTCTGATCTATTCGTAGCTTCTCTTTGGTAAGACAGAGCGCTCACGGAGAGACGCCGGGGGTTGTCACTTTGCACGGCAACAATAATATCGTCGATATGCCTGAGAAATTCGTCAGTTCTCGAGTGAAAATGTCTCAGTTACCAAATTAGTCCGATAATCTAGTTTCTTCGTAATAAATCGAACCGACTTCACCAACTTTGGTCGAATGCACTTTCGCAAATTTGGTGAAAGGGTTTCGTTGAAACCCGCACCTCATCAATCGTGTCAACAATTTCAGCAGTTGATTAGGTCTAATATTATATTTGCTGTTTTCATTGCATGGCAGTTGAAAGAATATCTTCTTGCTCGATTTTCCATGCGATGGACACGCCGCTGAGAAAGGAACTCAGAAAGAACCACAACATCTGTTGTAGAAAAGGCAAGATGCGAGTTTTATTTCGCTTGATATTATACTACCCATGAGCAGTGCTGTAGTAACGCTGGATCCGGAGCTAATTCGTTAGGACCGAACGCAGAGGATTTCGGTCTGTGCAGTACGTTTTCCGCAACAATACTCCATTGATTGATTGAATGGCTGGGAGACAAATCACGTGACTTGTCGGACTTCCAGCACTGCATATTTCAAACGGGTGGCCTTAAAAAACCAATAGCCTCCTGAAGTCAACGAAAATATACATTTCATGCACTAAACACACAGGACTACATGACAGAACGAACAAGCTCTGAATCTTTCCTACCGCTGATCGAGCAAGTTCCTCCGAACAAGCCCTCAGCCAGCCAAATGCCGTCTACTAGTATAAAATATGGTCTTCTTACTGGCTCGAATGACAAAGATTTCCTAAAAACCCTGAGAACTACCAGAACGACCGTAGAATTGCCAAAGGATTACTTTGACAGTCGTGCACATGGATTTTCGAGTAATTATCGGAAAGATTATACCACGGAGAAAAAACACACAACTATAAATGCATTATGTAAAAGTAGATATACAGACTTTATTACAAAGGAACGGCTGCGAGCTAGAGAGAAACGAAAACTGAATCAGAACGAATTAGTGCCCAGCAATCTGAACGTTCCTTCCCTCGTTGACGTGTGTGAAGGCAAGGAGGATGGAGAAGAGGAAGACGATGATGGCGTGTTTGCCAAAGAAATGGATGATGAGTTACAACGCAGAGATTTTGAGGAATTTATCATCTTAAATTCACTTAGTTCCGTGCAGATGAACCATATCTACTTCAAAATTGTTAAACTCTTTCGCTATATCCGCATCGTTAATCCACAGGGTACGGTGATTGCCCTGTTGTCATTGAATTCCTTCATCAAACGAGCTCCTGAAGTTGTCCAAGCTGTTGAGGAAAGTGATGGCATCGTAGTTCTATTGAATTTGCTCGAAAGTCAAGTCAATCCAGTACAACTTGCTTCTATGAAATTGTTATCAAATTTGTTCCAAATTATGTACCTACGGCGAGTGGCGATCGCTTTTGGGGCGGTACAAATATTGGTCAATTTGTTGCTCGACTCTGACGATCGTGTCAAGGCAGTGGCCGCAAATCTGTTAGCCAGCTTGGCCATTCTCAAGGAAGCACGTCTTATAATTCCCAAAACGAAAGGAATACAACATCTAATTTGCCTACTTGACTTGAGCGCACCCCACCAAGTGGAACCGGACGATAACGAGAGAGGAAAAGAAAAACAAAACAAAGCTAACCGAAGCGGTTCAAGTGAAAAGTTGGTAACTTCAGGAAATGACGAAGACCAAGAAACATGTAATAAGGAAAGCGTACTAGTTTCAGTAGCAACGGCATTGTGGCGATTGAGTAGAAGCGCTGTTAATCGAAAGCTGATGCAGAGGGCAGGTTTGACATTAATTCTAATGCGTCTCCTATTTACGAAAAACTCCAGGATTCTGGTTCCGCTTTTGGGTATTATCCAAGGCTGTGCGCCTGACGTAGCCTTTTGTCTATCTTTTAGAACTGAGGCAGTTTTGAAATGTCTGGCTGATCACCTTAAATCTGATGACATCAGAGTCAAAATTCATTGCTGCCGCATCCTGTACTACTGTCTAACAGAACAACATTTCAACAAACTAGGAGTCTTGGTCGGTCTTTTGAAAGCTCACACAAAGGAAACCGTTCGACTTCTCCAATCAGGTTGGGTGGAGTCAGATCCTGGAACTTTGACAGTTTTGATTCGTTCCGAAGAACGCCATTCATACACTCAGGGAAATAACAATGCTGCGATTCATCGTGAATCGCACCGAACGTCAATGACACCGAACTCAGAAGTTCGAACGCTTCGACTAAGAGTGCCTGAGTCCACACCTGTAGGTCACAAATCAGGTCCAGGTGCAATTCCAGTCAATAACGTGCTAGAAGACGGTCAAATGTTCTTCCAGCTATTATATACGATTCTAGCCACTTTGGGTAAGGCTGCCACATTTTCCTCCAAATTAACTGAGCTCAGTAAACTTGGAACAGCTGCCCCTCTCATCGAACTGGTCAAAATTATTTCTCCCTATCTATTAACCTACCGTCAACCGTCCTGTGCGATTTCACCACGCTTACATCGTGTAGCGCAACTGGAACGTGTTTGTTGTTTGACCACTACGTGTTTGGCTAACTTAGCCACCTGCTCAGGGACACAGAAACTTCTTTTGGCTGACTGTAGTGTTGTTAACAGCTTAGTACAGCTTCTTAGTCATTTTTCGCCAGATATTCTCGTCCCAACGATTGACTGCGTTTCTTCAATGGTTTCGGATTCACACTTAATGCTTCGGTTAAACGATCAAGGTACATTTCGTCTGCTTTTCTCCTACTGCTTTGGTGCAAATGTGTCTGTCTGTAACGCGGCATTAAACTCAGTACAACAATTCCTCAAACATGCGCCAAGCCGAGGGACGGTCCTGCGTTCGGTAAACAGTTCACTCGGACTCACGGTGAAGGCGCTGAGCGAAGTGTATCGGTCACTTATTCAGCCAAGTGTTAACCCCGAACCGCATATCGAAACACATTTATCTGCTATTTGTGGCGTTCTGGCGGAAATAGCCTCCGATAACCAAGGTCGCGCGATTCTCATTGAACTGGGTGCTGTCCCATATCTAATCAATATCACTACTGTGGCAAAGGAAAACTGTCTTCGGACCCAAGTTTGTGCAGCAATAACCCAGTTTGCTCAAACGACTCCAGTACTCCAAATCTTTCACGAAAAAGAGTTCATCCGGTCATTGATTGAATTTGTGAGGCAAGGTGATTTGAACCTTCAGCTGAGTGCTGTACGAGCCTTGGAGAGATTGAGTTTCGACCCAAATATATGCAGCACCATTCGCGTGGCGGATACGACTTCGACGTTCCTTCGAATCATGTGTGATGCACCAGAAGAATTACAGTCGGCTGCTGCTCATCTGATCGGAAGA